ACTGGTTTAATCAAGAAAGGACTTGTATTGCTGAAGTTCCTCCAAAAGAATTTATATCAGAAATTAACAAACAAGCAGATATAGAGATAATTATTGTGATCTATACAATAATGTAAAGGTAATGTATAGTGATGTATACAACAATGGAAAGGTATACAATAATGTAGAGGTAATAATAGTGATGTATACAATAATGTAGAGGTAATAATAGTGATGTATACAACAATATGGAGGTAATAATAGTGATGTATACAACAATGTAGAGTTAATAATAGTGATGTATACAACAATGTAGAGGTAATAATAGTTATGTATACAACAATGTAGATGTAATTATTGTGATCTATACTACAATGTGGAGATAGTATTAATGATCTACAGAACAATGCTGTGGTAATAATACTAATGTACATTACAATGTGGAAGTAATCATTGTGATACATACTGCAAATTGAAAGTAATAATCTTTACTTATACTTAAAGATATTGTGATTTACATAACAAGTACAGGTAGTAATTTTGTAGTAAGAGGAAAATGAGCCAACACTAGTGTAATTTTTATTCTTTCAGGGATTAAAAAGGATGTTATTGTATTGTCTATAAATTTTTTACAACCTCCATGTTTAATTAAGATATGAAAGTTGCAAATATTCAGGCACATTGAAAACACTTACTTAGAAAATAAAGTGTTAAATATATTGCTTTCCATGGTACAGTTTATTAAAATTAAAGTAATGCTGGCTTTTTCATGATCTGTTGATTTTGACAGGAAGAGTTCAGTGAAGAAGAAAGTGTACCTTCTTCCCCAGTGATGTCTCAGCCTGTGGGAGGTGAAAATAAGTCAATTCCTATGGTAGATCCTGAGGATGGTTGGGACCCCTCTGAGAAGACGACACTACACACCTTTCAGTACTCTACTTACAAGACAGAAGAAGGACCACCAGCACAGTCCACAACTGAAAGTTTTCCTAGTGGACCTCAGCCCTCTGTTTACTACAGTTCACGACCATTATAACAATGATAAATATGTTTGTCTTGCTATTTAAGATCATCAGTTTGTAGTTGATACTGGTCAATTTTTTGTTTACACATAGTTTTTTTAATATATGCATATATGTGTGTGTATAAATTACTGCACTAATGCTTCTCTATATTACACCAACATGGTCTAGTTGATAATGTGTGAACTTTAACTACTACAGAAAGACTGATTTGTCATATTTGTATCCGGGCCACAGTGAACTCACATTTAAACTACAACCAATGCAGCAAACATTTCTTTAAGTTGTATTTGCATTATAATTCAATCAGCTTAATATTCGTTCTCATCATCAACCGTGTGTCGGGGTTGACAAGGACTGGCGGAAGACATTCTGGTGCTTCTGAAAGCCACAGTCAGGAAGGCTTAATATTACAGTGTTCAGTGTCTGTACTGAATTAGGAAATTACTACCCCCATGAAAACAAGAATTTGCATACTTAACTTTTTTATTGGGGAATTTACTATGGCCCACCCTGTACATGTGTAATAGACACAAAGATACAGTAAAAAAATTTTCACATGTGTGCATTGATAATTGTTTCTACAGAAAGAGTCACTCAAGATAGTAGTTATTACATGTGTATTTATCTTAGCAGTGCTTTTTGGGGTAGAAGAGAAATAATTGTGTCACATCACACCCACCCAAATCAGATTCTTTTATTATATATATATATATATATAGATATATATATATATATATATATATATAGATAGATATATATATACAGAAAGAACATTCAACATTGTAGATTTAAAGGATCTTTTGTCCTTAAGAGAAAGTTTCTGTACATTTCAATGCATGTTGTTATAGGAACAACAGTGATAAGTCTACAGGTTTACAATGCTAAAATTCAGGTTTTAGAACCCGTGGTGGCCAGAGCATAGATAGCCTATAGTGATTAACAACAACTTTATGAGTATGGCTGTGAAAAGATCAACTCATTGCTTAGGTAGCTTAGAATATGACCAAGGTCATTTGGAGTAGTGTGTGTTTAAAATACTAGAAGATTTAAAAAACTTGCAGGTTACTGATTGACCAATATTTGTAAGAAAGAAGTGAGATAAAACAGTCAAATAAATCTCAAAGTAAACTCATAATTACTTAAATTAGTTTATGAAAAAGATCAGTACATAAAATGAAAGTCAAAGTTTAGAAACATAGTAATACAGAGTTCTGTTGGAAGTAAAGTCTATTACGTCCAAATTGGATTGTGGGGGATTTCTGTAGTACTTGTAGTTTCATGCTCTGAAAATTAAAATGATATATATATAAAAAATCTGACATTGTTACTACTCTGATGAATTTTATTTCCTTAAGATAAAAGTTTGAGGATTGTAAAGACTAATCTCTTTTACAGTTTGGAGGAACAACATATCTCATGCAAGTTTGTGGGAAGATAAAACTCCTGGTATTATTAAACAGGATAATCAAAGAAAAGTATCAATCGGGATGAACGAGGTGCCACTATATTCTTAAGATATCCTGGTTTTTAAATGACGAATTTCTTCAGCTTATTTGAAAGGAGAAAAATTGTCTGCAATTTACAAATGTCAGCAGTTTCAAGCCACAAATAAACCCTACCCAGTTACATATTATGTACTGTTTGTTAAATCTACTAAAAGCCAGTCCCTAACTTGTAATTTAAAGAGTTGGTGCATTTGTTTTTTTCTTGTTCAGGGTTCGTTATATTCCTTGTACTGCCTTCATATATTGCTAATATGAATGTTTTTTGTTTTTTTCTTTTTCCAAATTTACAGTGTTCAATTTCTTCATCACACATTCTCTGGGTCAAGTTAGTGTCTTCCTTGTTAAATTTTCTGGGATTTCCAGTTGCGTCTCTTAATGAGATTATGGTGATAAAAGAGAAATACCTTAATTGTAGGTCTTCCATATCTGTGGCAGTTTTGGTAGTATCAGAGGAGAACTACACCTACATGGGCTCCACCATTATCACAGAATTTGATGTTGCATCTTCTATCAAAACCTTTGTTTCTGACTGTTGTTTTCCTTTCTAATTGAAAGGGTGGACCATAGATAAAGATTTTTGTTACAATGAAACAGGTCAGGTTAAATCAGTATCTTATGGTCATCATGCCATTGATTAATTGTTAGGTCAGTGGTGCTGATGGTATTTAGCCACACAGGTACATGAGTATTTAAATTTTGGATTCGAAGTAGCTTCTGGATCTGCAGAACTTGGCTCCAAACATCTGACTGGGTTTTTAATGCTGCTGAGTTTGTTCCTCTTCTTCTTGTATTTATATTTGTACTTGCACAACTTTGCAGTCGTGCTTAGTCAGTGTCCTAGTCGGATATAGGCATGTTTGAACAAGTCTATACATGTTCCACATTATCAGTTGATGTCATCATGCACAGGTAGTAAAGGATTATTTTCTAGAAGTTTGCTATTTATCTCTGATCAAGAAAAATCCACTTCCTGAAAGGGATCAGTTTATCAGGTTTCTTTTCTGATCCTAACTTTTTCTGTTGATGTTTGAATATCTCTAGTATTGAATGTGAGGAAGAAATCCCAGCAAGCCATAAGTAAGGCACCATCAACTGCTTATGCAAACTTCTCCAGGCATTCCGTATACATCACCATTTCATAAGGTTCACTGACTTAGTAGTGGTGTTGAGTTTATTTCCCTTGTTAGCCCCAAGTTAAACCATATGATGGTTACTTTTTATTCTTATGAATATTCTTACATTGTGTCTATTCCCAAAGTTTTATTATTGTACATTGTTTGGTTTCATGAACTGACTGCCAAACACTTATCTGTTAGAACAGCTTAGCCTGTCACATCTCAATTACCATAAACCTAGAACTAGAGGGCTCGAGCACAACTTTTGTTCAAGAATATTAAGAAAGCAGTATGTGTTAAATCTGCATATAAGATTCAGCAAATAGAATGAAGAACTTGAGGTGACAGAACACACACACACAAAGATTTTAATGTTGGATATATGTAAAAATATATATTGACTACAATAATAGACTGAAACATAGCCATAGTGATTTCTTAGGCTGTGGTGTCACTTGTTTGTCTGAAACTGTCTGAGGATAGATACAAGGCACAGTAGTAGTGGTGAAATGTGAATGATATAAGAGTTGGTTACAGACAGTTTTGTATGATGACAAACAAAGCTGTTTCATTTTGTTTGTTTTTTACTCCTGTTTATTAATTTTTTGTTTCTGGTGTTTTTATTTTAATACGGTGTTAAGAGGAAGTTGTATGTAGTTTCTTTAACAACTGGGCTAAAATGTTTTGGGGTTTATGTCTTGTATGATGTGAGGCAGAGTATCTTGGCAGAAAAATTCTTTATTTGCAGGAGTCGACAACAGTCAAAAATTAAGCAGGTTTACTCGTCAATAACAAAACTGAGTTTCCAACTGTTGGGTAGATGTCAGTTCACTTGCTTAGTGTTTGGCTAAGTGTTCTTAAGGATCACTAGTTTTCAACGTGGTGATTTGTCGTAATAAAGCTTTTTATTTATCTATCATACTTTATTTATGGGATTTAGATATCTATCATTATAGTTTCTAATTTATAATATACTTATTTTATGTTTATACTGGTAATATTTTGGCAATGCTGACATTCAGTTCTGATTAGATTATTTTTAATGTGGTTGTGTATTGTTTAAAGCATGTAGAGAAATAATATTACCTCCTTTATAAATTATTTGAAGTACAAGATCTACTAAAACCATTCACCCAGGAATGAAATGTCATAAAATAAAAGTCATGCATGCAAAGTTTTATCTATCGGTATTGAGTTTCCCATCATAAGGTGGCAGGTCAGTTGCATCACCAATAACGGGGCATTAATATTCTTGTCTTATCATGGCATAGATGATTTTAGGTCACCCTGTATATCTACATTAGTCCTTAGTTATCAGTATCTTGATTTTTCATGTCATACGTGTCTGTGCAAACTTTTTCTGATAACATCAGTAACTTGTGTCGACTTTAGTTGATATTTTTTGTCAATAAACTCTATACTTATAGAGTTTATAATGATATAACAAACTGTTTCATTCAACAGAAATCTATACTATTTCTACATATTTAGTGAATGTTATAACTATTGTGTCCAAGCAAAAACCTAGGAATAACAGAAGAGGCTTAGGAATGTTATTAAAATTAATGTTTAAAAAGAAAACTAGTATGTTTAATGAACTTTCTACTTTGAAGGAACCAATTTACATTAATAGTATGACAAAGTTTCCCCTTCAGAAACAAAAAACATGAGAACAGCTTCACCTTAAGAAACAAAAAAACATGAGAACAGCTTCACCTTCAGAAACAAAAAACATGAGAACAGCTTCACCTTCAGAAACAAAAAACATGAGAACAGCTTCACCTTCATCTTATCCCTAGGTTATTTAGAGTCATAAAATATGTTTCCTGTTATTGTTGTGTGATATATGATTAATAACAGCTCAAGATCTGTGGCAGTGATTAACGTGATGTTTGTTATGGCTTGCAACTTTATAAAAATCATTTTCAGTGTGTAAAATTATTTAATAATGTTTTCACTTATGCACGAGTGAAATTTCTGAGGCAAAGAGTTTCTCTAGTTTATTATTGTTTTCACAAGTATTTAAAACTGAGGTGAATTATAGTCATTCTTGGGGAACTAATTACTATTATCCTCCTCCCCTCCAGAAAAAAGAAACCTCTGAACGTTTCACTGGGCAAAAACATCACGTGTATGATTTTATACCACCAAATAAACCACCATGATATATTGTTACACAGAATGTTTTTGCATTGGCCTAAACAAATGTGGTAATCTAAAATGCAGGTTTCAGAAAAGTTACTGTTCAAATTTATCTAATAATAGTGGCTATATTAGAAAGAGTAAAGTATTGTTAGTATTTCTATGAAAAAGAATGAATTGTTTTTAGATTTATCTAACAAATATGGCTGTATCAGAAAGAGTAAAGTATTGTTAGATTTATCTAACAGTATTTCTATCAAAAAGAGTGAATTGATTTTAGATTTAACCAACAATAATGGCTGTATCAGAAAGAGTAAAGTATTGTTAAGTAAAGCTGGTTGCATGTTGACAGCAGCACCATGGTTACTGTTCTTGAGCTAATCAGGTTTGTATGGTATGGCATGTAAATGTGATAGACAATACATTTAGTATGTATTTAATATTTTTCTAAAAATTTATCAGTGGTTCCAAGAGACTTTGCTGTCAGACTATAAGACAACATTGTAAGTTGTTTGTTTTACATACTGACTTTCATAATTTCTTAAGCTATTTAAGGTTTAAGATAAATGTGGAGTAATAATATGAGTTTTAGGTTTTCATGTTGTTTTCTTGTATAAAACACAAAACTAACATGATAGTAATAGTATTGTTATCCAAAACAAATGTTGAAACAATTGAAAGATAAATTATCCCACTGATTAAATGTTTTGTTAAAAATATTGGAACTCGCATGTCTTTGGAACTAAATCTAGTGTGTATGTATATATGTTCCCTCATTTTTAGAAGGTTAAGCAT